AAGCAGCACCCACGGACCTCCCAATCGATATTGGCCCACCAACAATTGAAGAGATCAGCATGGCCATTAGACAAGTCAAGAGTGGCAAAGCAGCGGGACCAGACAACATCCCGGCAGAGGCACTGAAAGCAAATGTAACAGCAACTGCCAAGATACTCCACATCCTCTTCAGTAAGATTTGGGATGAAGAACAAGTACCAACAGACTAGAAAAAAGGACTTCTGATCAAAATACCAAAGAAAGGTGATCTTAGCAAGTGCAACAACTACAGGGGCACCACTCTTCTCTCAATACCAGGAAAAGTCTTCAACCGAGTATTGTTAAACAGGATGAAGGATTCCGTGGACGCCCAACTTCGAGATCAACAAGCTGGATTTCGTAAGGATAGATCGTGCACAGATCAAATCGCAACTCTGCGGATCATTGTGGAACAATCAATCGAATGGAATTCATCACTCTACATCAACTTCATCGACTACGAGAAGGCATTTGATAGCGTGGACAGGACGACACTATGGAAGCTTCTTCGACACTACGGCGTGCCTGAGAAGATAGTCAATATCATACGGAACTCCTATGATGGACTAAACTGCCAAATCGTCCACGGAGGACAACTCACCGAGTCGTTTAAAGTAAAGACTGGTGTTAGGCAAGGTTGCTTACTCTCACCCTTTCTCTTTCTCCTGGTCATCGACTGGATTATGAAGACGTCAACATCTGGAGGAAATCACGGGATACAGTGGACAGGCAGGATGCAACTTGACGATTTAGACTTCGCGGATGATCTGGCTCTTCTATCACAAACGCAACAACAAATGCAGGAGAAAACGACCAGTGTAGCAGCAGCCTCAGCAGCAGTAGGTCTCAATATAAACAAAGAGAAAAGCAAGACTCTCCGATACAATACAATATGCACCAATCAAATTACACTTGACGGAAAAGCTTTGGAGGATGTGGAAACCTTTACATATCTGGGCAGCATCATTGATGAACACGGTGGATCAGATGCAGATGTGAGGGCGCGGATCGGCAAAGCAAGAGCAGCATATTTACAACTGAAAAACATCTGGAGCTCAAAACAATTGTCAACTAACACCAAGGTTAGAATTTTCAATACAAATGTCAAGACAGTCCTACTGTATGGGGCGGAGACGTGGAGAACTACGAAAGCCATTATCCAGAAGATACAAGTGTTTATTAGCTACTGTCTACGCAAGATACTTCGGACCAGATGGCCAGACACTATCAGTAACAAGTTACTGTGGGAGAGAACAAACCAGATTTTAGTGGAGGAAGAAGCGCTGGAAGTGGATTGGGCACACTTTGAGGAAATCAGCTAATTGTGTCACAAGACAAGCCCTCACATGGAATCCTGAAGGTCGAAGGAGAAGAGGAAGACCAAAGAACACATTAGGCCGAGAAATAGAGACAGACATGAGAAGAATGAACAAGAACTGGATAGAACTAAAAAAGGAAGCCCAGGACAGAGTGGGTTGGAGAAAGCCTATGCTCCATTGGGAGTAACAGGCGTAAGTAAGTAAGTAAGCTTAAGTAAGTAAGTAAGTATTCAACCCCTTTATAGTCTAGATAAATGAAAATTTAGTAAATCATTTCATCATCCAAACAATTTTCTTTTCTTTCTCCGAAATGGTTGACTATTATAAACATTGCTGGTCCAGTATTTTCCATAGTCGGCAAAGCAAGTATTATTCCCAAACATTGAACAGGAACTCATCTTTCATAGTTTACATCACGGATAGAGCTTAGACAACACTGTCGCTGGGTATTAAATATAAATTATTAAATAGTGATCGATATAATGCATAGAATCTACATCATAGTACACTATTAAACTGCATATCTTAGCTGAATCACTAAGCAAAACCAGAAAATAGTTTATACTGACAGACGATTGTTTTTCAGGTACACTTACATGCTCGGGGTATTCAATGAAATTATGTTACATTTAGCTGTATTTACAGATATAGCTAATTTCTAATTCATATGGTCAGTCTAGAGAAAACGATAACCCTTCACCACACACTTGCTCTCTGTTTGAAGTAATAAAATCAGATCTGCAAAGTTTCATTACTTAAATTATGAACGATAGTAATCGATCGGCACCTGGGAATGGTTAACAATCAGTGATCAGTCAATATAGTTTGACAAAATATTGCAGAAACTAAGTTAGGTAGTCAGCTCGGACAAAGAAAAGTAGTGAAGAATTACTTTCTAACAATCGGTTGCGGTTTAGCTGCAACCTGTGACTGGGTAGATATATGCAATGGAAAATTTTTATACATACCAAATCCTTGGCCATCACCAAATGAACAGTGGAACGAAATAATGAAAAAAACTTGAGCTACTGATTAAGATATAAGTAGGTGAATGTTTTCTAAAAAAGATTTATGCTAACTAGACCAAGCTCCAGTGTGCTGTAATAAACAATTATTTGTGGGAAAATGGATACCCTCAATCAATTATAGAGAAATATAGCTCCAAATGCCAAAGTAAGGTGGAATAATAAAAATCTGAAAATTAGAGTGTTTCTATTCGACTGTCATTCAAAGGTGATCAAACAATCAGTAGAATTCGTAAAATACTAAAAGTAGTTTTAAGAAGTACGTTCCCTGTTGCGAAGTGGATCCCTCTCTACACAATTCTGTGTTCAGTTACACAAACAAAATCAGGTGAATATCTGTCATATGTTGACTCCAACTTCATATTAGTTTACACGCAAACATGAAGGACAGAAAGACGGTCTTCTCGATTTAATGAGGATACCCCAGAAAAACATATGACTGAAGAAACGGCTTACAAAGTTCAGTAGCACCCCACCTGCTGGTCTATCAGGCATAACGTTAATCCAATGAATTCGTTCAAAGTCATCAATAAACAACCCAACTCCATGTCACTAAAATCCCTAGAAACCATAACAGTTTAAGGGCTTGAATGTGACTTTTGTATCCGAAATGTTGGTAGTTAACCTTTCGTCGTTTTGATAACATTTCAACCTCTCCATTCTTCAATTAATGGTAATCACAATCTCATATGTTTACTTTTCCAAGTTTCCGAAAATTTCGTCACATTGCGTAATAAAATCATATTAATACTCTAGAACCATCGCCTCAAGCAACGGTAAAAAGAATTCCCTTTCAAAACTTTAACCCTTAACCTTTTTTTGCATTTCACACAGTTTGTTCGTTACTGATTGACAATTCACTTTTCAACGTTATGTTGCTGAAAAAAGTGACGAAATACAATTCATCCATCGTCTTCTATGAATACTGTCGTCTTTGCTTTGAGTAATTGTGTGAGTTAACTTTATTACAGCTGTTTTCACTGAAAGTTTTACAATTAAATATATTAAATAGCTATACCCCTATCTGAAAATTATGCGATATATGTAGGACTATTTTCATTATCCATTTATTAATAACTGATTAGAAGTATATAGAAATGAATAACAAATGAGGTTACGTACTAATCAAGAAGTAAGGAAGAAAAAATTTATGGTAGAGGTTACAATAATTAAATGCCTTAATTATAAAATAGGCGCTCGGGAGCGAGACTGATAGGTCCTGGGTTTGAATCTTGCGGGGCAGGATCGTGGATGCGCACTATTGAGGAGTCCCATAATAGGACGAAACGGACGTCCACTGTTTTCAGGTTTTCCATTGTGGTCTAGCTTCAATTGACTCATGATTTCAACTATAAGATAAGGATTTCATATTGAATCTCCTAACATGTGAGTTTCTGTATCCTGCAAATATAGAACTGATGGGTTAAAATTTACGACTATTCAACTAAAGTCAGGAAATTTAATCCCGTTCATCCTTCTACTGAATAACAGTTTTTCTAACGTCCTTAATTGTTTTTTTTTCATACAGTAAACGATCCAGCACTTTAAAAAGTGGGTTTATTCTTGGTTTAAAAAAATATAGACTACCCAATGGTAGGTTCATCGGTCAAATGCCCAATTAAACGTGTCGATGACTAGTTATCAATACTTTAAAATAGTAATCATAACTCTGAAGTTCGATGGTGAATATTAAAACCAATTCACGTCAATCTTGGAAAATAATAATTAACGTGATAGAGGGTGTTCACATCGACGGAGAGAATGATAAACAGCGATGAAAGAAAAAAGCAGGGTAGAGCATATGTTATTTGAAGGTCACTGACTTCTTAACAACATCAAGTAGATAGATTCTAATAAGATTCCACGGTGAGACTACAATTCATGGACGATCTTTAAGTGACGCTAAACTGACCTTGAGAGTGTCTACCTTATAACTAGAACCAAATGAGAGTTATAAAGCGGTGTGAGGAAATAGAATTATGATTTAGAGTCGATTATCGAGGTTGGGAATTAGATTTAGGGTTTTCATCACGAACTGACACCAGGTCTAATGCCAAAACTCTGTCCAGCCAAATGGATGAGTGAATTTCGCGCCAAAGTCCGAGACGTCATCCTATACCTGATTGGTTCGTCCACAAATTATAGTCTCGCCGACTCCCCCATTAGATAAGCCTCTTAGAAAGGTGGCATTGAGTAACTGACGAAGCACTATGAATTATTTATGTACATTACTTAATTAGTATTACAAACAGCTTCATTGATTTATGTACCAAGAACTTGTGTTACACTTGGATAGCAATCACATACCCCAACCAGCTACGCTGATTAATACACGAATATGGTAAAATCACACTAGCCGAAGCCAAACCAGGACATACGATCAGTCTCTGAAACCACTAACTACTGAATTTATAAGTATCAATGCCAAGGTCAGGCCTTATAGTTCCAAACAAATTAAGCATTGGGTAAAGAGTTAATAATAAATATACTTGTTATATCCCGGTGAGTAGAAAAATTGTATTTCTGACGTCTCGTGAATTAATCTGAGCCTCTTCTTCTAAGCATTATTTACTGTGAAGTGGCTTACATTAAGTCACGAAACGTCAGAAATACGATTTCTCTACTCATCCAGATCTAACAAAAATATATTTACCACAAACTATTGGTTTGAGCCACGTGGGGTGATTCAGACTCCCAGGTTTAGAACGAATTATTAGTCATAACCTATAGTTTAAGACATAAAGTAGCATGTCCTGAAATCGATCGCAGTTGTATTCAGTATTTAACTTCCTGAAAAAAGCAATAAGCTTAATGTTTTTCTATACTTATATTCCGTGATATCACTCGGGCATTGTTATTATTTGCCTTCATCTACCTTTCATTTTGTTAATTTTCTAACTTATGCTCATTTGATGTGTAGCAGCTCGAGCCGATACACACTCATGTCAGATCCTACGTTGTCTATCATCAATTTTAAATCTGTACTACGAAGCCGTCTTTATTTATTTATTTATTTATTTAAACATACATTGGTACAAGAGGGCACCAGATATATACGCGCCACACGAAGCCGTCTATGAGCAAAACAAAAAAAAGCCAACGTTAAAAGTTATGGTTATTGTAAACCTCTATATACATGGTCAATTCTCTTAACAAGATAAAATCCATCAAAACTTGCTAAGCAATACATGAAAAAGACTAAGACTTAAGTAAGAAAAGTCGAGTTTGTCATTATATATGGAATAATATTTATTGTAATCCATCGACTTTTAATTCGTAACTCTACGATTTTTCACCGTGTTCATTTGATTGCTGAATTGTCGGCGAAATTGGTTTTACAAATGGATCAATATTTGAAGGAATAGATCCTCGTTGACTAAAACCTCCACCAACATTTATTCCAATACCCAAAGGTTTATTATTTTGTACTTTATCAAATGACAATAAACTACCGAATAGGAAATGTTGAACGACTGGAAATTTTTCTAAAACCTGAAAATTATTTTAAGAGAATATAATCAAGTTAAGAGATTGATTGTTAAGGGACTGAATACAAACAGTATTCAACAAGCTAATATAATTTGAATACGGTTATTAATTAATTACTGTTAGATAGTTGAAGACAAAAAGAAGTCCTAACTATCAGTTTTCCCATACCGAAGTAAATGGAGAGGGCTTCAAACGTGACTGGCTTTCCTGATTAGTACGTAGCAATGAATCATACTCATTTCTCTCGAAGTACATTTACAGGATTCTAGCCAGATAGTTTTATCATTGATTTGAGTGTGCTTCAATGCGACAAATCATTGCCTTAAAGCCAACGGTTATATATATATGCAACTATTGGAACGTATAGTTTTTTTTATAGTTGATCAGAAAGTTCTTTAAGTCTAGCTAGGCAGTATTGAGAAGAGGATATATCTCGTTTATCGTTCACAATAATCAACATTTCAAAAATATTCACGTTTATGAACCAAATTATGTTGAATCCTGTATACCAGCCGACAAAATCTGTGTTTGCTTTAACATATAACTAATGTATCGATAGAAAGTCAGAAGGGGTTTTGTGGAGATTTAGTATTTTCATAGTTGAAAGCGTGAGACTCGCGAGTGCGGGATCGTGGATGCGCACTGCTGAGAAGTCCTATAATAGGGAGAAACGGCCGTCCAGTGCTTCCAGGTTTTCCATGGTGGTTTAGCTTCAATTGACTCACGCTTTCAACTCAATAAAAAGAATTCATTACAATTCAAATAGCATAAGTCAACTGAAATGAGGAGCTGAGCATTAAAAGTAACTTACTTCACCTTTATACATTTTAATTAAACCAGAATTAACTTTTTCCCATTTCGGTACTTCACTAATTCCATACAATGTATGTGAATGTTCTTCAAATGGACCAGTTTTACACTAGTAATAAATTAAAGGAAATTCAACAATGTTACATTTGAGAACTTTTATAGTTTTCAAAAAATGGATTTTAAATAAAAGTGTACTTCAAGATGAAGTTGTCAATAAACAAGTAGAGACCTTTTAACGACGAAGGAATCCATATTCACTTTTGATGCCACACCTTAGATAACAACTGTTAGAGTAGGTCATTGATAAGCTCTACCTACCGCCAACAATTACAGTTCAAAGTACACTTCAACATGTAACAATTTAATAAAATACGAGCAAATATAAATCAAAATATTGTACGTAAGTGTACAAAATTACGTAGTGAACAAAATTGCTACACTTCACAATTGAGGCATTACTGAGTAGTTAACAATGTCATATTAATCGAATCCTTTACCGCTGAGCAGATTCTATCTACTAAGTTGCAATAAAGCCACTAATCTAAGTGAATCAACGTCGTGTGCACTATGTTGAGCTGTTAGTTGGTTGACGATAGTCGGTAGGAAACTCTGGACTCAGGTTTCGTGTTAGTTGACACTTTTCGGCCTCAATAGTTCAGTGTTAAAGGTCTCAGACTGGTAATCTGGGTTTGAATACCACACACAGCATCAATTTCCTCAGGATTACTGGTACACTTTGTTAACAAGTATCAGCTAACACAAAACCTAATTCCAGGGTCTCCTGTCAACTACCTTTTATCATCTAGAATATCACATTTTAAATCAGCACAATTAGGAGAAAATCAGCAACAAGAAGAAATGTGAATGATTGGAAAAAGAAATTTGAAAGGAATAAATAAGGAAACATATTCAGAGTCCTATATTCATAACTGCGGTTATTTATGTGGCTCATATCTTGTTTGATGCCTCCTTGTGCCAATGTTTATGTGTTTAAATAAAAAAATAAAAGAGTCTTCAAAAGGCTTATGCACATCTGAGGCACACCTTTCGATGACAGACAGTCACAGAACTTTTCGGCTTACAGAGTCAAATGCTGCTTTTGAGTCAAGAGAAACTATCATTGTCAGACGCCGATATCCATGATTGTGTCCTAAGATCTGACGAATGGTGAATGCGGTCGATACAGCTACGACCTGGTCTGAAGCCAACCCGATGAAGTGTGCTATTGTTACAGTTGACCTCTTACCTATCCTTCTAACTGTGATAAGGCAGTATAAACAGTGAGGATAGTAAGAAATATCTTACTGTCACTGCACACTATACACAGCAGTAGAATTTCACCATTGAATTACAAATCTGCTGTTTTTGCTTTTTTTACAGCTCTTTTCTCAATATAATATGACAATTAACGAAAATATGTTTCAGCTACTGTAGCTAGATTGAGTCTGTATAATAAACAAGTCCAAATGCCTTGCTGAGATAGAAGCTAAGGTTAGGAAAGATGAATTGATTTTCAAAAGGAAACTGTTCCTGTCTTAAACATAGAATATGAGAGTTTATACAGCGTTTGTTAATTTTCAAGTGAAATCATAACAAAAATTAACATACGGACCTTTTACAATAAGTAATTAAAACTACTCACATGATGAATATAAGCAATACATGAAAATAAAAGGTATTTATCTTTCTCCAATTCAACAATATTACGATCTCTTATCACGGTAGGATCGTACTGACTGCCTGAAAGTTTTGAATAAATTGGAGAAAAAAAAACAAGTTAAATTTGTGAATGAAATTTCCCTTCATAAATTAGCTATTATATATTGTACAATATTCTTGGAGGTTGGGATGTTTCGGGCAATTTATTACTAATTGTGAAGTACTGATATATTGAAATTGCAGTAGCCATATCTTATATCAAGGAACATTATTCAATAAGTTAGAGTGATGGTTAAAACATTTGAACTTCAACAATAAGGTTACAAGTTCGAACTCTTTCACACCTGTTTTGACTTGTATAGTCAGGCAACAGCATTACACTAACATCCACACAAAACCAAAGTGTGACTTAAAAGCAAATACATTTACATATACTTGGTAAATGAGTTATATTTATCATTTCGTCATCTTTACATGGTTTAATGCCGGTGTTTACGAGGGCAGTTGGGTATTGGGACTTAAATAAAACAAAGAAATGTACTTTTAAGAGTCTATCACTTTTTTAAGTGACCAATTGAATAAAAATTTTGTAGTAGTAAGAATTTACGATCAGATTACTCATACGATACTATGATTATTAAAAAATGGCAACCAGTTACCAATCAATTGACTACTGCCCCAAATGAAAGGAACAAATTGAAAATCATCCAAACACCATACACCATGAGAGCCAGCTGGCTCCATACGATATGTCGTTTGTAACAAACGAACTAATACTAAATACTTTGGCATTATAACAAGCCCAACAGCTAGAAGATCATTTATAGTTGATGCATCAGAATCAGTTTGTTTTTTTAGAATGTTCAGTTTGAAAAGACAAGTTAAAAACGCTAAGAAAGCCAATTCATGACCAGTTCCATAATCAATACGTGTTGAATTTCCAAATGATTCAACCAGATAACCAGAAACTTCGTTAACTGCTTCGGTATATGATACTAAATAAAAATGGTACAATTAAAATGTAAAAGTAATAAATTTTAGCAAATGAAGTCACCTAGATTTCTACATAAAACTTAATAATAAAATATTCAAAACAAAAGATAGACTGTACAAAATTTTTGAGTTCTTAATGTGAAAATAAATTTCTAAAGCATCTGACTTATAAGTTTAATCCACACAAAGCAATGAAGCCATATTAGTAAATGGATTATTATGATGATCAGTGGTCATTTATTACTTTTTAATCCTGCCCCCAAATGCCCTAGTACGGTCGAGAGTGGAGAGTCCGCTCTCCCTCTCCAAATGCTCTCATATGGCCACGTGTATATAGCCTCTGACAGGAAAATCCTACTCGCTGCCTTATCGTGGTATTACTGTTGTTTACAAAATTTAGAAGACGAAAAGCGAATGTCCAGCGCTTAGTGGGTTAGTGGACACGGAAAGTCCACCTAGGGAAGTTGGAAAACCCTGATTCCAAACCAATGGTGCACATGCGCTCCAGTATCCTGAAGGAACAAATGGCGTATGAACCAATCGCTGATCACCGGCTACCATGGGACTGCATCTCCTTACGATGCTCCACTGCCTTGTGGATCAGATCTTTCGGTCAAAGGCTCCGGGAGTGGTCCCTTAAGAAAACCACCTGCTTCAGTTTGGGCACCTTGGCAGTATCACATCCCTCACACAAATCAAATAAGATTTGTGCGGCGCATATGTATCTGGTGCTTCCTTGTACCAATATTTGTGTTTAAATAAAATAATAAGAAAAAATCATTCAATGAACCAATGTAATATAAAACTGAGCCAATATCTAACTAAATATGTATTCTGAGACTGAAGTTAATAAATTTGCATATTAATATCTTTAACAGCACTGTGAGAAATTAAAACCATTCTGCATGACAAAACTATGACTTGTCTTGAAATACTAATCTTTCGATTTATCCAAAACGGTTGAAATTTATTGCGACCATAAGAATTACAGCTAGTAATAACTAAGAAATTAAAGTTATAAATAACGTCTTCATTGCTCTAGTTTATATATTTTAAACTACATCAGTTTTGAATCGGATATGAAATTTGCTATAATATTGAATTTCTCCAGTGGATAAGATAAGTTAACACTTTAGCATCCTGTTGTGAAACCAATTCCACTGACAAATCTATAAAAGAATGAGCATGGAATTTCGTACACTGTGAAAATAACAGATCAGTACTAATAAAAATTAGGCCTTAAAAAGGACATCGTCTCAAAATAGAGTATTGAAAAAAGACTAATCTGAACATAATTAAAAAGGAGAAGCGAAATCTCTGGAGAAAAACATAAAGTCCTGCAACCTGTTAAATCTATGTATAGAATGGAGAATATAGTATACGGACTTAAGCCTAAAATATAACAATAATGTCAGAAATTAACAAGCATACAAAAAAGAAAGTAATTCCAACTAGAACCAACACCAAACTTTCAAAATAATCATTTTAAGAACAACAAAACTATCATTTAAAGTCAATGCTGAAGCAAATTTTCAATTTTTAACCAGTCAGTAAAAGACAATAAAAAACCTAAAAAACGACAATATATCCATTGAAGTTGACAAAATTCACATCAGCATCCTAAAAAAGGTATTAAGAAAGCATTAATATATAGAAACACAAAAACAAATAAAGTTGATATTTTAGTTTCACAATGAACTAACTTGGTGGATCAGTGAAATCTGTAGTACCGTGATCATGAAAAATAGTGGAACAAATTTCGATGGCATTCTCTTGTAACCATGTAAACCATCGTCTAAATGCTTTATTTCCAAATCTCTGTGGTTGCTCCTCAGGTGGGTAATCTTCGATTGCTTGCTGCAACTTGTCAAGCACTTCATACACCAACATTATGGCCTAAAATAGTTACTTTTATAATAGTAACTTCCAAAACACCTTAGAAGATTTTAAATTATCCTGGATCGAACGAGAGACCAATTTACTATTAACACTGTTTATTAGGTTAAGAATCTCATTAGAAGCGATGGAAGAAGTCCACTGACGTACATCAGCTGGAGACGTGATTTTTTTAGTTAAACCCATCTAGTAACAAGATAAAAGGAATAAAGTTAAGCTAGTTAAGAACACAATTAAATTATCGATCGATACAAAGTTGGCCATGGGCATTTTGCATTCTATACAATTACTTCTGACTACAATATGACACTTCCACATAGTTCAACAATTACAACAAAGTGGTTATGAAAAATATAACTAACTAACTAGATATCATCCTGACCGTAGCCGCTACCTTGAAGTGTCAATCGAAGAATGACTATTATGACAACTCGACAGAATTATATTGGCTGGAACACATGCTCCTTTAGGTCCCATTATATCAGGCAAGTCGGTTGGAGAACGGTAAGATTAAAAGCACCAACTTAATGTCCGAGGGCGAAGTCGTATTGCTGACTGCGAAGGAGTGCAACAGTAGCAAGGAGTCTCCCCAGACAACCAGTACCTGTGGCGATGCTACCTTCTGGTAACAGACCGCAGAAGTTGAAAAAGGCTGACCCTAAACTGTCACACCTAACCTTATCTCACGGATTTCCATCTCCAGTAGTAAGGTCTATTGAAATATGAAGCTAACACTTCAAAAACTTCCCATAAAACATCTGAAAGCGACCAGACCCAAGAAGTTGTAACTTGGACTCTGCAGTGACGTTCGCAAGTCCCTGAGATAACCACTAATCCAGCTTCCTTTGCAGGTTTCCTAAGAATTTTTTTTCCACGGTGTGAGCAGCCGAGAAGTCACAACTGTCATTATACCCTTGACAGTACCCCAGACCATCTTGTTCACGACTGACTGGGCTATATTCCATACATACACAACATAACTCATGAGTAAAAAGAATTTGATTAATTACCTGTTTTTTAATTATCCTAATTCAGTAACACAATATACATCTGCATAATAGTTGGAAGTCATATTTTGTGTTGAGAGATAATGCAACTTATCAGTTAACCAAACCAACATAAATGGAGCATGGAATAAACTTGAAACGCAGTAAAGCTCATTACTCATACTCAAACCCGAAAAACATCACTTCCACCCATACTACTACATCATTTGAGACGATTACCTATCTTTAGTAAACTGTAAGTAGAAATGCCGGTTAATATAACTAACTTAAGCATAATGTACATTTTTGATGGAGCTCAATTTTCTGAGCTGGATGTTTTAATCGTGAGGCTTTTATTAATTACCTGAACAACATTATCAACACAAACTTAAAATAAAAGTAAGGCATTCGAATTTCTTCACATATAACTAACAACTTTTTCCCGTAGGCATCGATTAGTTATCGTTAACCCTTAAAGTACATTAATCTGCATCGTTAAATCTTATTCGGTATCACATCACAAAAGGACATGATATTTAAATCCTTTAAATGATGGTACATACAGTCTTCAAAAATAGTATTCAAAATTATTTGTATACATGATTAATGAGGACATGCAATCTCAAATTACAATTTATGAGAACCAAACCAGTATTAATCAGGTTGAAATCCTGTTACAGTAAACTATTCAGTGTGAACACTATCCATGGTATTTCAATACAGTTTTATGTTTTGTGTTGATGACAAAGACTCAGTTTAAATATTCTAATCATGTTTTATTGACGTGTACTCGAAAAACAAACGTAATTGTATTGAGTACACTGGGTGAAAATTTAAAAGCTTCATCTACGAAACCGGTGTTTAAACGCTAGTTATTGGGACAAGGGAAATAAGAGGATAGAATAGTTTCGTCCACAGTCATCAGTCATCGTTGGAGAAGCTCGATGAAAGACTGTTGCTTCTTCTGGAGTACATGTTTAGACTCTGATCATACTCTAACACGAGCACGCATTTTCTTACGCCTTACTGGATGCAGAAAAACCACATTGAGAAGACCCATTACAGTAGAACTCAGTAACGAGAAAGACAAAAGTAGATTTCAGGAACAAGTGAGGTCAAGCTTAGGCAGTTCTGAGGATGACCAACATGTTGCTTAGAGAGATGAACAAACAGCTGTGGAGACATCAGCTACCTGGTTGTGGCTGCATCGACCAAACATTCACCAGTCGTCAGGTTTCAAAACACAGGCATGTTTATCCGTGTCCAACAATGACAGTTTCTCTTGACTTAAAAGCAGCATTTTACTCAATAGACCGAGAGGTTCTGTGGCAGTGTCTATCATTGAAAGGTGGACCTCAGAAGCACATAAACCTTGTGAAGGCTCTTTACTCGAACACTACCAGTCGAGTGAGAGCTTATGGCGAACTGTCACCTGATTTTGCAACCTCAAGTGGTGTCCGACAAGGTTGTCCACTATCCCCATTTTTGTTTAACTTCATTATAGACATATTGCTGGAAATAACACTCTCTTCGACTGAATCTTCAGGAATTGATCCACCAGGGGGTCCACTTATCGACTTAGAATACGCAGATGACATAGTCCTGTTTGGTGAAGACGCTGACAAAGTGCAGAGTTTTCTATTAGAACTGAGTAATAATGCCAGGATGTTTGGGATGCGTTTCTCCCCATCCAAATGTAAATTGTTAGTCCAGGACTGGCCTGCATCAACACCTGAACTAAGGATAGGGAGTGAAGTAGTCGAACGCATCGACAACTTCACTTATCTTGGAAGTCTGATCAGCCCTAATAGGTTGGCGCCTGACGAAATCTCTGCACGGATTCAGAAAGTTCGTTTGGTTCCTGCCGACTTACGTCACCTATGACGAAGGTGAGATGTCCGTCTATCAATTAAGGGATGGGTATATTGCGTGGAAGTTCGTTCTCTTCTACCTTATGGCTGCGAAACGTGGCCATTAAGAGTAGGAGATACTCGTAAGTTACTAGTATTTGACCACACATGCCCTAGAAATATTGCTCGCATTAGCTGGGATCACTGGGTAAGTAATAGTGAGGTTAGACACAGGGTATTAAGGAATGATGGTAAATCAGTTGATGAGGTGATGAATCTTCACCGACTGAAATGGTTGGGCCACGTGTTACGTATGCCTGAACACCGAATACCACGACGTGCTATGCTGACTAGTGTACGGGATGGTTGGAAACAGTTAGGGACGGCCGAACCAGAACATGGCATCAGCCCTTAATGTCACTAACTTCTAGTCTCAGCCATGTTGGTAGATGCAGACTACTTGGATTGTCCGTTTGATTGTTGTAACAAATGGTTGGAGACTCTGTGTGACATGACTCAGAATCGATCAATGGCGTAGGTGTATACACTCTTTGTCTGACCTTAAACTGAGATTAAAATTGCTTTATACCTTCATTTCTACAAACTAATTCTTTCTTCCTGTACTATATATTTAAACACAATCTTTCTTTTATAGATTACCACCACTGAAGTAACCGCTTTTATGAATTTGATGTTCATATTGTTGTGCTAATGAGGTGTGGCAACTTCGACCGATGCATATACGTGCTTGGTTCTACGTTGTAGCTGACTGACTTCTCTCAACACCATCAAAATGATTGTTACACGAAGGCCTACGTGACTACTTCCCATTCATATACTTCTTCGCACCCCAACAACACGGTCTTAGGAAGGGTCACTCCAGCATAACCAACCTGCTGACCGCGGTGGACAGATGGACAACTATCCTTGATCGCAAGGGGAAGGTTGATGTCATACACCTTGACTTTTCAAAAGCTTTTTATACGGGCCAATCATACACGTCCTATTAATAAGCTTAAACGGTTAGATATCAAGTCACCGCTATCAGATTGGCTTACTTCATAAATAAGTGACCGACATTTTACGGTAAGGGTAAGCTTCGCTTTTTCTCAGACAACAGAACGTCCTTGTGTGGTCCCTCAGGGTTGAACACTGGGATCCCGTCTCTTTTTAATTTATGAGTGACCTTCCTTAGAAGTTATCGCCTTATTTATTACTCTTCGCTGACTACGTGAAACTTTAGAGAGGAGTATGTAACCAAGATGATTAGCTGGCACTTCATGAGGACCTAACTAAGGGGATAATTGAATAATTCTAAACACCTCAAAGTGTAAAGTAGTCCATCTGAGACAAGTTTTAGACTACGCGTACAACCTAGGTAACTCCCCTACAGAGATATCCCAAGTTGGAAGAGATCTAGGAGTCTTTGTATCCTATAATCTGAAGTTTTACACTAACTGCAACGAAAATGTCTCTCAATAGAACCTTGTACTGGCAGCATTGAAAAGCACTTTTGGCCAATTTGACGGTAGGACCCTCCACTTAATCTTTAGAAGCCTCATTCGACTGCGTCTAAAAATTGGAAAAACAGCATTTTCTCCCTTACTCCAAAGGATAAGGATAAACTGGAACGTATTCAGTCATACAACATATGTTCTGCTATATAGCAGAATGGACTGCAGGAACATCCTTTACTCCTCAAGAGTAGTCAAAATCCGGAACTCGCTGTCGGCTGAGCGACCTCCCAAGACTATCAACACCCAATCTCCCTATTTCGAGTAACTTTGGTGAAAAACCTCAACGTGTTATAAGATTCTGGAAATTTTTTGGGGATTTTGTACCATTTTATCGGAGTTTTCTATAGCGGTTTAGCCGAAATACGAATATTCCTTTGGTATCGCGAAATATAACAAAGATTCATACCTGAAGACACCGTTGACCCACTGCTACTAGATAAGGAAGCCCGTTAAGCAAATGCCTTAACTACGTCCAGACCTATTTCAATACTCAAGGCCGTTCTTCGCACTTGACCTTGTAGAGATTTTGTAGCACATCAACTTCTTCATTGATCAGTATTTGTGCAGAACTATGTCTTTCCGAGCATTTTCTCTTCATTTGTTTTTTCATCCAGCAAGTTGGTACATTCATCGTCAGTCAAGACTTAAAGACTACTGCACACTGCCGTGCAATAGCCGCCAAAGTTTTTAGGACTTTATGGTCCATACGCAGGGCTTTTAGGCATCTTGACGCTAAAACGTTTTTGACTTTGTATACAGTGTTCGTACGCCCTAAACTTGAGTACTGTATACAAGCAGCTAACCCCTGCCTAAAAAAAGACAGTGAACTCTTGGAAAGGGTTCAGAGAACAGCAACTAGGCTGATTCCCGGAATAGCGAAGCTCCCGTATGGTACTAGACTGACCAAGCTAAACCTATTCCCGCTGTCATATAGAAGAATCAGAGGTGACTTGATAATAGTTTTCAAATTGCTTAATGACAAATTTGCACCTGATATGCCCTCATTTTTCTTGTCTTCCAAAACAGAAAATCTACGAGGACACTCCAAAAAAGTTCACAAGCCCAGAACGAATTACTTGTCAGCTGACTACCGACTTTCCCATCGAATAATCAACGAGTGGAATTCATTACCTCAGCATGTGGTTGAGGCTCCATCTGTCAACTCCTTCAAAAGAAAGTTGGATCAGCTGAGAGACCATTGTAGTGTAGTGCTTCGTTAATCGATCGTCTTGATAACCGTTATTATATCAATCTGAACAGTGTATAATATCAGGAGACAAAGGGAAGTGGCAACTACATTGTTGTTGACAAATAACATAGGCTAGAAGGCAGTAAGCACATGAGTAAATGTTAGCGAGCGAAGAAAAAATAACGTACATGGGAGATGGCTGGTAAGCCAACTCGTTATAAGCAAGCATTAATCAACATTTATAGTCAGACTAAAATGAATGACAGACATATGATAGGTAGGATAAGAAGGGTGCATACACATACGCTCATATAAAAAAATAGTCAAGGTCAATAAGCGAATAATTAACAAGATCAAAATATGACTCATAACGTTATAGGTGAATTGGCTTGTCCAGAAGCTAGAATAAGCTATGTAGGTGTAACATAGTACACGACGTTACACTACTCCCCACACCATCATTGCCAGGACTAACACAGGCCATCAAGCCTCCTATCCTTTCCAAACTGAAACTGAGACTTCTAAAGAGGCGTCCTTGCAGAAGGCATATGTTGATGAAATGTGGGCAAAACCCTGAATGAAAACCTTACAATTATGTGAGTAAAGATGCTACAGGTATTTGAAGATTAACAACGCTTTCACACATAACACCTTTATCATGGGAGGATACTGACGCAGTCGAAATAGAATTCAAGGATCGATGAGTGTGTAGTAGTATTTGAAAAGTTGTCAACATGTTGAGAAATATTTGATCTAAATAGGCTAGTAGTTGCAAGCTGTATGTGGTACGACGTACCCACTAATGATCTGGTGCGGATGAGTGACCGAGAGCCTTCAGCTGTGGTGTGCTCAAGAAACTAATGATATCACCATCAATGTTGAAAACTTACAGAACTATTAATTTGGGGGATTTATTTACCACCACATGAGTCACTCATTCAGAAAATGAACGATGAATTAATTTTCAGAGGGGGTTTTGTGGGGATTTGGTATTTTTTCATAGTAGGTCCTGGGTTCGAATCTCGCGACAGCGGGTTCGTGGATGGGCACTGCTGAGGAGTCCCATAATAGGACGAAACGTCCGTCCCGTGTTTCCAGGTTTTCCATGGTGGTCTAGCTTCAATTGACTCATGCTTTCTACTATGAACGGAGAGTTGTTCGAAAAGGCTAGTACAGCACTTTTACTAACGCGAAATTGCAGGGTCCCTTGTAAAATTTGAAAACAGTACATCAAATACATAGATCGAGTTTTGTTTTCTGAGCTTAATGGTTTGATCGTAGAGCTTTTACGGTTACTTTGTGTGAAATCATTAGCACAAACTTCAGGTAGAAGTGGTGTTCGAAGTTCTGCATAAATGGCTCACAGCTCGTCCTGTAGACCTCGAAATTGATTGGTTATTGTCGACCTTTACTCTATAGTTCTTTACTTCTTTATTTTAATTTCATAATCAAAATCAAGGAGTAGAGAAGGAACGTCAGTGGTAAGCAGCAGTGATACTCTATTCATCACGTTTTACTTGGTGCATTTCAATGTCATACCCCTCCACAGAAACTTGTTAAAGGACCACGCGAAACAGAAGATGTAGATTGTTTTCAGCTCTACAAAACCTAGGTTAGCTCCCCTTAAAGACGTTGAGAATCTTACAGCGTTATCAACCTCGAACCTACTACCCGTAACACTACTCCTGGAAACTACGTAGCAGAAAATGTAATCGGATATCATAACTATTTATCATAACCATTCAATTTACATCACTGAAGCAGTCCCGAGCGTTCTCTTTCTCTACATGAACGTAGAATTTAGCGTCACATCCATGAACTTCAAAGATTATCGAAATAAACCGACGTCTGGAAAATTTGCCACATAAGGAAAAAGTTATTTTTATTTCCCTACCAGTATTAACCAGGTTCGAGAATCAAAACTACTGGAATATGTTTTGTGAAGGATAATGTAACGTCATGTGCTATGTTAGACTTACATAGCTTATTCTGGCTTCTGGACAGGCCAATCTATCCATTGTTCTCAAACTGCATTTTAACCTTGTCAATAAGTGGCTTCTTTAATTTGACCGTTTTTGGATGGACGTGTAGAGCCAGTGAAATCTCACTGAGCCCCAGCCAAATCATCCGGCGGTTGGGTCACTGGGTATCGAACAGATCATCGATCCCAGTCAAGGTCAAGGACAGTCACCACGCATCGGTTAATCACATTCCATGGACTGGAGCATGAGATGGTGGTTTCTCTATCTTCTCTGAACTCATTCTTACTAATATATCTCTATAACAACGTCCTTTATGTCATATGGTCTTCAAAGCCGTCATAGTACTTTGGTACGTCGAAGGGGTAATCCACGTTAGATGTTGACTGAGAGGTACGACTTCGAAGTTAGTCGGCTCATTACACAGTTCTCTTGAAACTCGTGTACGCCTCCAAACATTCGACAGAGATCACCAACTTTGATAATTTGAAAGCGTGTGTGTGTGCACATCATATCCTATTTATCACATATCTGTGGCTTATTTTTATCTGGTTAACGCTCGATGAAGTCGAGCTAGTTCACTTATCTCCTCCAATCTGCTTCGATCTTCCCTCCTTGTTTCGTTTCTTTGATTATCTGTTAAAATCACTGAGTGAATGAAATATATATGTTCAAAATCCATTCTCGAATTTGGCTTATTTAATTCCGTTATTCAATAACGCGAGTTAAGTTGATAATTATACACGAGCATGAACGATATGTGTATTTCAATAACAATCATTCATACGATCCAAATTCAGTCAGATATCTGACCACTAAAGTTTATTAATACCTAAATTCCATCTTTCTCAGTCCGTATGTTAGTAGAGATTTAATCATAAAGACAGTGGGGAGCTTGATAACCAGTGTCTATAAATGTATGACTACAGAATTTTTCTTTAGACTTGGACTGCTGAACTCGGTCGTCATTCTGTGCAAGGAATGGTGTCTCATGTTTGTTAGTAACAAATTCGCTTTCAGTAAATTGTTATTTATTTGGGGATTCCGCAATTTATTGATTGATGGTGTTCAATATGTTATGTTTTCGTTGTTAGTAACTCAAGCCCGAAAAGCGTTTACGTAAAACAGTCGCCGTATTTGGTCATCATAGAAGTCTCAAATCCTATCAATAGCACTGACCTACCTAACCACACCAACTTAGTCGTCGACCCAACCAGACCGAGGTAAATGGATAAATACACCATGTGTTTTCAAGACACTTTTTCCTGGTGACGAATTATGTTTGATCATAAGCAATCAGGTCATTAACTCTTACATTCAGCCAACACTTGGAAAGTATTCGGGACTGCAATGTACTATGTCTGAAGAGCGGTTTTGCGCATTATACCGCAACTAAATTATTTTTTGTATTCTAAATCTCACTCTTAATAGTATCTTAACGATTGAGAGTGAAGAGGAACAAAGCCGACTCCAGGATGAACTTGAGAATAACCCGAACTTCAATCAGATCATAAGTGTTACCGTCTCATATAGATCCTATAAAGGTAATGGTTATTAAGCTATCAGCGAAAACGGACAACTCAACGTTCTTACCACTCCAGATTGTTAAACCCTTTATCACTCCCATGACTTAACAGCAGCATTGAAAGACACGATCGTCTGTCAAAAATCAGCTTGGTCAAGGCATACAATTAAATACCTTCAGAAAACTCATACACTATTTCCCATTTGCAAAACTGGATAAAGTAAAAGTAAATATCGTAACAGCATAAAATGATACTATTTATTTTATGAAGTTTCCCAAACTGCTTGCGATTCAAAACCATTATATTGATTATGAAAGCGAAACCGTTGAACACACTTTTGTCAGAAACGTCTAGAACAAATTGAGTTAACATGTGGAGAAAGAATAGTATTAGGAGACAATAAAACGAAGGAATTAATGTTGTTCAAATGTTCGTATATTTTAGGCTAAATACAGGAATATTTTACCAGGGCATGGAAACAGAATTTTTCGGAATCCAAAATAAACTGTAATATATACTAATTGAGTAAAGCTCAGAAGTAAGAATCAAGGTATCAGAAACTTACAGTTTCTGGGAAGAGTAATACGTATTGTATTCACAAAACGAGGTGTTACGTCTAACCGATTGGACGCTATATTCGCTTACCTAAGCTAGTTCCGTACCCCCGAGCTAGAACTATACACCGACTTGAAGACCAGAGAAAAGGCACAAAGTGTGTGGGAAGCACTTTACAACAGGGTTCATTTATGTACAGAAAATATAGGGATTTTATAGTAATTTAAGAGTCCTTGAGTTTTACCGAAAATTCTAGAATACTTCTAAACATAGTAGCAGTGCATTAATCAGCCAATCAGGATCTCCACGTGTGACTTTTCCATTTTCGTTATTTCAGTAACATAACTTTACATAACTTCTAATTAATCGCTGATTGGTTGAAATGCTTCTTGATGACCCATGAACTTTTCATATCGCTTGCGAGAAAATTGCAGGGTCATCCCAACACAAGGTCATCGGAGAAATATGACATTGATATCTGTTTCTTTTGGTTACATGAATTGAGTTTAAATCTTTATTGCAACAGCTTCGGCAATGCGTACCAATCTTGAATTCTTTTGTCTATTGATTATTTTGAAAGATTTCGGAACTCCTATCTCAAGTCCACTGTCGAGCTAATTGCAAGTAATTACATTTGTTGAAAACCATTTGTCCGTCAAATCTCAACTCTTTAGCAATTTGTTTGGAGATGCGGGCACAAACTATGCCTTCCGTTCTTCTGATATATGCTCTTTATCAGGTAAATGTGAAATCGTAAACACAATTAGAGTTGACATAAGGCAAGTATCTGTCCACATGTGGTTGTCTCAACGAACATTTCGTTTAGTACAGGAATAGGAACTTGGTCACTGGACAAGTTCTTTTTGTATTGCCTTTAGTTTAGAATCAACCCTCCCAGCTATTTCATCACAAGACATGGCAAATCCTAACTAAAGTCAAGTGAAAAAGACCTAGTCAAGATTAGACTGAGAAATATCAAAACATGGTCACAAAAGAACATAATAAGATTTTGATTACCGAAAGAAAGGAGATTGCACTAAAACCCTGTTGGTTGTCGCTAACATATTTATGGTGACTAAACAAGAAGGCTGTTGGAGTCGTGGATATATGCTGCCTGATTATGGTCCAGGCAAGCGATATAAGCAGTTGTCAAAGACGTAGGGTGATGGCTCACTATAGTATGCAATGGCACAGGCGAATTTGTCATAGTGCTGGTACTAACCACACGCACATGAGATAACTGAGGAGACAGATACCCAACATTTAACACGGAGAGAAGGCCAACATTGATGAATGCGGAAACATTCATTTCAATCGGAAGGCATGGCTCAGCCTTGCAGATGAGGTCATCCTGTATAACTGGTCTTGATTCGTATTAGATATATTATCCTATCTTCAGCCTAAATGTGTTCTTTAAAAGTATTGAGTAACATATTGCTAACTAGTGCGATACGATGAGTCAGTGTAGACAACGACGTGACCTTCATGTAAGATCTTATAAAACAGGCAGTCACATCATGACCTATCTACAATTTTAGGATTATATCTATAATTATAATAGTACTAATGACGAGGTTGACCATAATTCTACAAATTCGCCCATTGTCTTAGACCCTAATTTTTAAACCATCTTAAAAGTTTTTCATTTCACTAGTTCATATTTTCTCTTCCACGCCCTTCTTTACGTCATTGTTCATCACCCTTGCCATTTGGTGTGATCTTTGGAGCGTTTGACCAGGTTCCGCAGCAGGAATCAAAATGCTGTACTAATAAAAAAGAGTTTTCTTAAAACACCAGAATCATTTGTGTGAAAACCAAACACTTAGAAGGTAGCCCCATGTCTGCCGAACTTCTCATTACGCCGCTCTTCAGCACTGACCATGAAGTGATAACGCAATATTTATAACGTTCACAGAGAAAATTTTCAAACATATAACAATCACTCTAAATCAACACGTTTTGATAGGACAGTACAGTTTGCAGAAAACCTAAAAGAATACAGTATGAGAAGCACTTTCGTCTCTTATTTTGTTCCTCTCGTCCCCCGTATGCTATGACATCTTTGTTGTATTCTAAATTTGTATAGTATTCAAAACACGGCAAAACCTATAACTGTCTAGGTAAGCTTGAGTGCCTTGTATACTAAAAACATCCCGAATAAAAACATGTCGTCCATGATGCATTTTTATCAGTCACTTGGTATGTTTCTATGTATATCTTCTATTTGAGTCGTCTCCTAAACTTCACAAGCGCCCAGAGAATGATTGCTCTTCTCAATGTATATTAACATCTGTTTTAACTTTAGCAGATGAAATATGCGTTTCGTTTGTTCTTCAGAATCTTCATTTGAGTAGTAGGCATGTGCAACAGATTACGAAACGATCTAATTATTGGCATGGTAATAGAAAGGGAATAGCAGAACGAGTTGGTTGACAACAAAAGTGATCACGAGGTAACGCCCTCAGTGATCCTTTCCAGTACTTAAATAAATAAGACAGTCGCCCGATAGTCTTTTCGCAGTCTCAGTAGAAAGTGGTAGCACTATTACTTTCGTTAGAAAGATCACTAACATACAGGTCGGAATTAAAGAATAGTTTTCATGGACATTTTTGTAAACTCACTCGTGTTTTATCTTGAACAACTGTTTCCCCAAGTCTACTTTGCTTTTGAAACATTTCACTGGTCTGTCGAAGGAAAGAAAATTACGAGAGATTATCAAACATTCAACGTCCAGCTATTCATTCTTCAGAGTACGGGGGGATTCAGCTTAACTGATAATTCAGCCACAATTAAGTGTTATTTCATGGACCCAATAATCAATTCAAATTATATCGGAAGCTCCTTTTCGTATCCCGAAAGCTAAAATCCAACGGCGAGCCATGAAAATGTTCTGGTACTCAAATTCAAGCCTTATGAGGATCTCCTCCAATCACTAAACCTTTACCCATTGGAGTATAGACGTCTTATAGGTGAACGTCTAATGGATCACAGTATGCTTATCACTTTTGAACATCGTCTTAAACACCTACTTCAGTTTAGCCCCAATACGAACATAAGAGGCAACAGCCAGAAACTAGAGACACAACACAGCAGAACGAACTGTAGACACGACTTCTACTCCTTCAGAGTTGTCAAATGCCGTAATTCGCTGCCGACTGAGCTGGTCCAAGCGAATTCTCAGGAGTCCTTTAAGAGGAAACTTGATCTGTTCTTAAGGACTAAAGATTATATCTTACTGTGATTCACAAATTTCTTTTTCACCTATTGTCATTATTATACCTAGGTTCTTTCCTGTAGGCATTGGTGATCCACAGCTACTAGATACGGAAGCTAGTTAAGCGAAAACTTCTTCTATTCCGTCCACAGACATTTGAACCATTTTTGTTTAACACAGCTAACTGATATCTTTTTGCCAGTCGCTGCTTCGGTTTTTCAAGGCTTATTCACTGTTATGCATTATCGCTAAAATGGTTTATTTAGAGATCATAGCATATGGCCTACTGTTTCTTACATATTCAGTAGCATGTTTTACAAGTCCATTCACTAAAGTAAGTAACTGTTTCGTGTTCTAAACTGTGTTGGTATTAGCAAACATTACATAACAGTTTTTACTGTTTCACTCACTGTATAATGGCGAGAATAGCTTTACTTTTGCGCGTTTGACATCACACAGAAAATAAAAAACCTCAAAGGTTAGCTTCAATCATTCTCTTTTGGAATTATTTTAAAGTAGAATTCCAATGAACCTCACTGTCTACCAATTGTTTTTAAACAGAAACTTTCTGGTTACATATAACAGCCATATTCTTTCAATTTAGTAAACGTCACATGTCCTGGTTGATTTTGTTTCCTGAAAACGTATTGCTCTACCTGTCTATTAGTCTTTACTAATGGAGATAGGAAGTCTATCGACCCATATTAATCCTTGCAGTTTGTAACACTGTGGAGGTCTAATCTCGTTTTGAATATATTAACAGAAAGTGCTGATATTAATTGTCCTGGTATATACTTCCAGTAATGCACTACTTAGGGCGAGAAACGAGACTTAAAACGTAGACGATTTGATCTCGGTATCTGTTCTTAGAATGTTTTCTCAAATGATCAGTTCTAGACGGAAGGAAGAGATTAGAAATATTAATATTAAAGCCATCATTTACTATACGATAAGCCAATATTAGATCACCTCATACTGTGGTAAAATGACGGGAATAAGTCGAGGCATCTGAGTCTTCTTTCACAAGATAGGTTAACGAGAACTTTCACCATTTCGGTCCCTCGTCGTTGGACTCGTCCCAGCATATCCGCCTCATACTTGAAACAAGGACTAGCTGCGTGAATCCCATATTTCAAATGCGGCCTCACGAAAATCTGGTCTAATAGCCTAGACATTTCGTCCTCCAAGTAATGAAATGACATATAAATAACCCATAAGATCCTAAAGCTTTTGACAACGATAGCCTTACATTTACTCTTCATTCTATGATCTTTGATTATTATGACTCATTACTTTAGGTAACACTACTCCTCATATTGTGTAGTGTTATAGATCTTCGCAATTATTTATTTGAATCATTATCGTTCTGTCAATCACGACGTAGGACCAGGCACATTTATGCATCGGTCGAAGTTGCCATACATCATTAGCACAACCATTGGCTACGATAGACACGTGGACCCCGACCAGGTAGTCTGCATCTACCAACATGGCTGAGACTAGAAGTTAGTGACATTAAGGGCTGATGCCATGTTCTGGTTCGGCCGTCCCTAACTGTTTCCAACCATCCCGTACACTAGTCAGCATAGCACGTCGTGGTATTCGGTGTTCAGGCATACGTAACACGTGGCCCAACCATTTCAGTCGGTGAAGATTCATCACCTCATCAACTGATTTACCATCATTCCTTAATACCCTGTGTCTAACCTCACTATTACTTACCCAGTGATCCCAGCTAATGCGAGCAATATTTCTAGGGCATGTGTGGTCAAATACTAGTAACTTACGAGTATCTCCTACTCTTAATGGCCACGTTTCGCAGCCATAAGGTAGAAGAGAACGAACTTCCACGCAATATACCCATCCCTTAATTGATAGACGGACATCTCACCTTCGTCATAGGTGACGTAAGTCGGCAGGAACCAAACGAACTTTCTGAATCCGTGCAGAGATTTCGTCAGGCGCCAACCTATTAGGGCTGATCAGACTTCCAAGATAAGTGAAGTTGTCGATGCGTTCGACTACTTCACTCCCTATCCTTAGTTCAGGTGTTGATGCAGGCCAGTCCTGGACTAACAATTTACATTTGGATGGGGAGAAACGCATCCCAAACATCCTGGCATTATTACTCAGTTCTAATAGAAAACTCTGCACTTTGTCAGCGTCTTCACCAAACAGGACTATGTCATCTGCGTATTCTAAGTCGATAAGTGGACCCCCTGGTGGATCAATTCCTGAAGATTCAGTCGAAGAGAGTGTTATTTCCAGCAATATGTCTATAATGAAGTTAAACAAAAATGGGGATAGTGGACAACCTTGTCGGACACCACTTGAGGTTGCAAAATCAGGTGACAGTTCGCCATAAGCTCTCACTCGACTGGTAGTGTTCGAGTAAAGAGCCTTCACAAGGTTTATGTGCTTCTGAGGTCCACCTTTCAATGATAGACACTGCCACAGAACCTCTCGGTCTATTGAGTAAAATGCTGCTTTTAAGTCAAGAGAAACTGTCATTGTTGGACACGGATAAACATGCCTGTGTTTTGAAACCTGACGACTGGTGAATGTTTGGTCGATGCAGCCACAACCAGGTAGCTGATGTCTCCACAGCTGTTTGTTCATCTCTCTAAGCAACATGTTGGTCATCCTCAGAACTGCCTAAGCTTGACCTCACTTGTTCCTGAAATCTACTTTTGTCTTTCTCGTTACTGAGTTCTACTGTAATGGGTCTTCTCAATGTGGTTTTTCTGCATCCAGTAAGGCGTAAGAAAATGCGTGCTCGTGTTAGAGTATGATCAGAGTCTAAACATGTACTCCAGAAGAAGCAACAGTCTTTCATCGAGCTTCTCCAACGATGACTGATGACTGTGGACGAAACTATTCTATCCTCTTATTTCCCTTGTCCCAATAACTAGCGTTTAAACACCGGTTTCGTAGATGAAGCTTTTAAATTTTCACCCAGTGTACTCAATACAATTACGTTTGTTTTTCGAGTACACGTCAATAAAACATGATTAGAATATTTAAACTGAGTCTTTGTCATCAACACAAAACATAAAACTGTATTGAAATACCATGGATAGTGTTCACACTGAATAGTTTACTGTAACAGGATTTCAACCTGATTAATACTGGTTTGGTTCTCATAAATTGTAATTTGAGATTGCATGTCCTCATTAATCATGTATACAAATAATTTTGAATAATTTTTTTGAAGACTGCTACACTACTGATGTGCTACACTGTTTGTCTTCATCTGCATTTGTTCGTGTGTGTGTGGGATAGAACAGGTAGGTCATTTGTAAAGTCCAAATCGTCTCGTTGCATCCAACCTGTCGATTTTATTGTGTGCTTCCCATCAGATGTTGAGGTCTTCTTAGTCCAGTCAACCACCAAACGAAAGAGAAAGGGGAAGAGTAAGCAGCCTTTTCTGACTCCGGTCCTTACTTGGTATGCATGTAGTTCGTCGTATGAATACCGAATAATTTTGACGATATTCTCAGCTGCTCACTCCACAGTGCTGAAGAACGTTCCATAATGTTCTATCCATACTGTCAAATGCTTGTTAATAATCAAGGAAGTTGATGTATAGTGACGAGTTCCATTCAATTGATTATTCAGCGATGGTCTGTAGTGCCACGTTTTGGTTTGTGCATTGCCGGTCTACTGAGTCTTTCATCCAGTTCAGCAACACTCTGTTGTAAACCTTTCCTGGTACGGAAAGTAGTGTAATGTTTCTGTAGTTGGCACATTTTCTCAGACCTCCTATCTTTGATATCTTGATGAAATATCCTTCTTGCCAGTCCATCGCCACTTGTTCTTCATCCTAAATCTTCCTGAATAGAGTGTAGAGTAGACTCGCAATTGATTCTATGCCTGATTTTAGTGCTTCGACTGGTATATTGTCGGGTACTGTTGCTTTCCCACTCTTCATTTGTCTGATGCCCATCCTGCTCTCTTCCATAGTTGGTGGAGTGACATCTGTACTAACGTCTGTAGGTGCTGCTTCAATGTCCGTTGGGTTCCATGAAACTGGTCTATTTAAGAGCTCCTCGAAGTATTCTACCCAACTTTTCTTCTGTCCTTAACCGGTCTCTTTAGTTTACTATATTTCCCTGCCAGTTTCTTTGTTGTGTCATGCAGTCGTTTCATACTTCCTTCTCTTCCAGCTTTTTCTAATGTCGGCCACAATACTTCTCTTCACTTGCTTGTTTGCTTCAGTGTATTCAGCTTGTGCCTTTACATTCTCTGCTCTTGTTTGGCTGTTGTCAATTGCTGCCTTCTTGTTCTTCTTTTCTTCAATCTAGTCCAGGGTTCCCATAGAGATCCATTCCTTATGGTGGTTGTTGTTTCCGCCTCCTGATACGTTGAAGTCAGTGCTTCTTTGATCCTTTTCCAAATGCTCTCCATAGTAATTTCTTCTTTCACTAGATCCTGTAAGGCTTGGAACCTGTTGTTGAGTTATCTTTAATTGGTTGAGTTTGTCAGTATGTGGAAGGAAGACTGTATGGAACATTTGTAATGTTGTTTCCCCAGCTGTCTAGTGTTTCTTTAGCTTCAGTTTCATCTTGGCCACAACCAGGTGGTGACCTGAATCTATGTCAGCTCCGCTACTGGTTCTTAGGTCTTCCATCGACCTGAAATTTTTATTGATACAGATATGATCGATCTGGTTCGGTCAGACTCATGTAGCTTTGTATATGTGTTTGTGTGGGAATATTGTGCTGCCTATCACCATTTTGTTGAATGCACATAAATTTCCAAATCTATCCCCATTCTCGTTGCATCCCCCAGTCAGTCCATGTTGTCTCACGATATCTTCATATCCAATGTTTCTCATTCCGACTTTGGCGTTTAGATCTCCCATTAGGGTTGTCAGGTCGTTTCCTGAGCAATTCACTATGACCAATTGTAGCCTCGAGTAGAACTGATCTTTATTGTCGTCATTTTTATCATTGATCGGTGCATAAAATTGGATAAAATTAACTGTGGTTTCCTCTCTCTTTCTTTTCAATAATGTTTCGATGATTCTGGATCCGTGAGATCCCCATCCTATAATTGTATTTCGTGCTTCATTGGACAGTATTAGAGCAACTCCCTGAGTGTGTAGAACATTCTGCCCTTCGTCATCGGAGTGCAGCAGCATCTCTCCCGTACCTAGCCTTTGTTGTCCAGCTTGGGTCCAATGTGTTTTGCTGATTCCGAGAACCTCCAATTTGTATCTCCCCATTTCCGTAACTATTTGACTGGTTCTCTCGGTTTTTGACATTGTGAGGCCGTTCTGTGTACCTATGCTAATTGTTGCTGTGGTTGTTAGTAGGGGGCATGAACCTCGTGACTTCCGAAGAATCTCGGATTTCATCGTGAGACGTTATAATTCTTCCGTCAACTCGGAGGACAGAGTTTAAGTGGTCTAAATTGCTTATTCTGGTTCGCGTTTTTTAGCAAGGTTGTTTTCTACGGGATGGGGTTGCCGACCCCATGCTCAACCCTCCTCCTTTGTTTGGTCTTTGGACTTGCAGTTGTCCTAGAAGAGCTACAGGCGTAGTTACTTATATAAGTATTTCCAGCTAAAGACGACCATAAATATTTAACTGGTGATTCCTCATGAATTTCAGTCACAGTCATTACTTTCTATCGAAATTGTTGACCTAGTTCATTTGGCGTTTACGACATGATTGTTCTATGATGTAGATTAGATTGGTCATATGATTTGTGGAGACAATGGGGAAATATGTATTGTACATTTAGCTGGGACTGGCTTTCAACACTCGTAATTTGTATTGGAGCATGAATTCAATACAATTCTGGTCTACAACATAAGCTGTTCTACCACTTATTGTACAGCATTTTTGTTTTTAGATACGTAGAAGAAATAAATAGTTCTGTGGTCCCTCACTAAAAGATCAATAAGCTATAAACTATCTCTTACGTTGTATGGCCTAGACACAATGTTGTGTATGTATGAGTTACTGTCAATCTTCCAAAATATTTAAATAGCTTCACTTTATAAATCTTGACCTTTTATGATGACTGACGTCATTTCATTTATAACACTTAGGCATTCTGTTTCGCTTTTCTCAAAAGAAGAATAATAAATAACAATTGTGAAACTTTGATAATCGTAGGATAATAGAAAACCTCATACCTTTCGAATTAGCTACGATTAAGGATTTCATTGAAATCATAAATCTATCGAAGTTAGATCGCCGTTGAAAATCTGGGAGTACTGGACGGCCGTCTCATCCTGGTATGGGAATCCTCACCCGTTCACATCTACGACTCCTCACTCAGGAATTGAACCCAGGGCCTTCGGTCTTGTGCGCAAACGCTTAATCTCTAGATCGCTGAGTTGGCATCCAAAGGTGTTAATTTTCAACTTCGACCAATCTTAGACATTACCCGACTGTCTTTTATTGTTTTGGAGGGTAACCGTCTCACACTGTAGAGGATTAATTCATCTATATCTGACTCCAATAAATAAATAATATCCCGCTAACTGAATATTTAATGCAGGCTTAATCTCCTAGTAAAACTATGGGTTTACTCAAGATTATTCAAAAGCCTGAACACCAGCTATTAAGATAGTTTATTGTTGAAGTTTGGTAAAATCCGCAAGCGTACAGATAGTAAGCACACAGGGAAAATAAATGAGTAAGTATGCGTATGTGTGTCGATGAGTGTTAAAAGTCCATATATATTTATGAGTGTAAATGGATTGTGGACAAATTATTGATTGTCTTTGCTAATAACCAATGTGAGAACAGATTAAACATTGATGTGTAGACACATGCGCTCAATCAGACTCACACATAAATTTACAAAGTGGACTAAATGTCTAAATTACTGAGGACACACAAATAACACAATAGCTGAATGGGCTTGCTACAACACTCAAACGGTCCACTTTCGCTAGTCACGGCTTGATCAAGGAGTAACTTCGCAATGCTATCGCGTTATCATCTTACAAGCTTGAGTTCTGATTTATTAGTTACTACTATATTTCGCATTGCAACTGGTGGACTTCGATTAGCGATTAATGTCTCGCTTGATTTGTAGGCCTAACAGCCTCCAATGCATTTCTCATTTATTGTGTTTTCTTTAATCTGACATTTCGGTTGTATAAATAAACTAGACGTGCTTACCGCCATCATTAATATAGAGCCTGGCACAGGTTTCCGCCCACATGTGATCATCATGTAATACCGTCTTCATTGTCCGTTTGAGCTTTTGTCGGGAGGAAACGTTTGAGTGGGAAGTCTGTCACTCATAAAACATTTGTATTTCAGTTAAACTATGATATAATGGGTATAGTTTTACAATATGAATTCTAAATATATCACAGTTTGATTAAGGTATTTATTTTCCGAATTATGTTTCGATTTTTTGTTCAGTTTAACTTGAATAAATTTAGACAATTTACAAAGTCATAGCTAGCTTCCAATAGATAATGTTGGTCTTTTCTGTTAATATAGGGCAATATCATACACTCTGAACTGTCACCAGATTATCTGTTTACAAGACTTAGAAGTCGTTCGGTAAAAAATAGTTTGGAACGAATTTTTAATAAAATCAATATTATTCGTAATGTTGGCACCCCTGGTCACCTTAAAGTTAGAGAAGTGAGTGTATTAACACAAGTCTAAATACTTTAAATGAAGTTTATTCAAGATTATCTAAACAAACGCGGTTGGGAAACTGATTTGGATACTTTTGAAGAAAATACAGTGGTTGGTGTTAAAACATTTCACAACATTATTGGCTACAGAAGTAACCCAAACTATACGAAATATTTGATTTTGGCTTGTCATTATGAATCAAAACTTCTCCCTAATTTTGTTGGATCAACAGATTCAGCAATGCCTTGTTCAATTATTTTGAAAATTGTCGACATGCTTAACTATGGGATTAAAGCACTGAAGGTATGGAGCCATTCTTTTGTTTACTTTTTGTGATTATTATAAATTTTCTATTAATTTAAGCCTGGTAAAACATTAGTCACTTTTTCGACAGTATAACTGAGATGTTTTTTTAAAATAAACCGTGAGAAATACTGAGATCGTGGTTGGAGGTGGCCAACAGGAAACCCTGAACCCGGGTTTCGTGCTACTTGGCACTCGTCAGCAAGGTGTATCTGTACCACCTCCAACCACGATCTCATCTCAACATAGTGCACGCAGTGTCGAGCCTCCTAGACTAGTGGTCACACTGTAACCTGATCGATAGCATTCGATCAGCACTACGGAGGACTTGACACGCATGACATTGATCACCACCCAGTGATCAATCAATCGTGAGAAATAATATTTTAATCAGCAATATCTATAAAATTTTTACTTATAAACCGTCAAGCTTATAATCATAATCCAGTTACACGTAGTCAGGAGTTGCTAACCTAGTTGCTCATGATAGACACCTTAATTATATAAACCTTAACAAACTAATAAAAGTAGTTCAGTTTACAAAATATAATATAGGATTGGAAAAAAAACTTTCTGCACCTACAGTTAATCAAATTCCGAAAGATACAAGTAAAAGGCTTGAGAATCATTCACTTTTATTAGCCAGTATTACCTATAAAGACAAATAATCTCTTAACAAATATAACAGGTGACTGAAATACCTTATTATGGGCTTTGATATATTTTTGGCATAATTTTGCCAATATCATTTTTAAAAGAATAACTTCACAACTTTATACAAAGGATTTTGCAAAAAATCAGCCTACAACCCTAAAATCATCTTTAGGAACCTAGTGACGAATAGTTTTATCAGATATGAAAAATCTCTCTGAATTAACTATTAAGGCTTATTAACCTCCTGAAAAATGGTTTTGCTTAGAAATTGGCACAAATACTTTATTTTACTTTACTCTGATTAAAGGACGCAGTAATTAAATAATATATGTCCTTTATTATTCAAAAGACTTATTCCCCCATACTATATCTTTATATACAACCTTTATTTTATACATTAACATCACTAAATTAACTACTTTTAAGAATTCGGTGTTCATCTTGTTGTGTGAACGAGATATGACAACTTGGACCGATGCATATATGTGCCTGGTCCTACGTTGTAGCTGACTGACTGAAAGACCTATTTCATGATCTATAAAAGGCGTTGGATTAGTTTCAATAGAGGACCTCTCCACGTACATATGGATAAACAGTTAGAGCTATCATCACTTATATAAATGTATATAGTCAACTCAACTCAAAATTCGTTATCGTAGAGATCTCAGAAATGCTATAAAATTTCTCGAAGCATGAAATTCAAGTCAATCTGTAATCAGTAGACGTGTTGACATAAATCTGGTCTACCCATAAAGTTGATCAATAACATCGTCAGTGATCAGACTAACAAATCAGTTAACCAGAATATGAAAGTAAATTAGAATCTTAAAAAAATCCTACCAAAATAACCAATCATAAACAAGATGGTTAGAACAGAAGTGATTCGGGGAAAGTGGAATAGTTTTGGAGATTTTATCCCTGTTTAAAGTAAAAGCTGATAATATTGTTCATAACGGTAATCAAATTTTTTTCAATTAAACTACTTAGCTGAGAGAAACCACTAGAAAATGACAATCTTTGTTGTACTATTTTACGTAGTTACTTTTTGGTTACATTATTTATTATTAATCTGGACATCATCAACACAAACTTCTGCCTGAAGAGAACGAAGCTACATCAAAATCATCCACCTAAGCTACAAATCTCAAACCATCATCATTTTACTTAATAATGGATATCCGAATTCCTGAACTAAACGGTTGACAAATATCGTTAGGTGTCATTTGTATAAAAAATGTATAATGAAGTTAATATAGTCGGGTTACATAGTAGGTAACAATCGACACGTTGCGAAGTAACCGATATTCATTTGGTTCGATTCATCATGACATCTCTAGAATTTCTATTTCAAATGGACCGTTTATATTGACAGATTATATTATCATGAGTCAATTGAAGCTAGACCACCATGGAAAACCTGGAAGCACTAGACGGCCATTTCATCCTACAATGGGACTCCTCAGCAGTGCACATGATTTCAATATAGTTAACAGTGCAATAATGTTAAATAAATGAGTGTTTGGTAATCAGCAAAAAGTTCATGGCCGTCTTCTTACTACCGTGGGATTCCGTACAAATCTTCGAAATTATATAGTATTTAGAAAAAATTTAGGAATCTACATTGCTGAATGATTATATCCAACATTTGCTGGTTAATCACTTCTCTCTATTTGTAGAAATCTGATATTGGTTTGAAGCTGATATTTTTTGATGGAGAAGAAGCTTTCAACCAGTGGACAGATACTGATAGCTTATATGGATCTCGACATTTAGCTAAAAAATGGAGCAGTACAACATCCAAATCATCTAATGAAACAGAATTGAATAAAATTGTAAGCACTTCAGATATACCGTAGTCATAGTTTGTCTAATAAATAATGTTTTATCATACATTCTGATTTCAAACTGTTTAGAACTAGCCACTATCCTTCTTTGCTTACCATGCTTGTGAATTTAGGCTATATCGAGGCAATACGCACAGTATGCACATATGCCAATTAGAGACTGACCAGTTGCAGTCCTAAAAACATCAATGGGAAGATTCAAACAAACAGTACTAAGTAAATGTTTAGAACTTAATGAACTAGAAATTTAAATAAACCAAAAACAACAATATAAGCAGAATAAATATAAATTCGTCATATTTCATGGTTTCTCATCAGTTACTTACAACCATATATGCATTAAGATGTAACATTGAGGTATGATATGATGTGAGACAATTTATGACAGCAATGAACTACACTCTGTTGTAGATATACTAATGACACACTTCTTGTCTGCAACAATCAGAAACGTTCTATTTACCTACTCAACCTGTTTAACAAAGCACACAATGATATAGATTTTACTAAAGAACGTGAATTTGAAGGTAAATTCCATTTCTTAAATATTAAGTTGACACGAACCTCAGACGACACACTACAAAGATACATCCATTGCAAAAATATGTGGAGTGGAGTTTATCTAAATTACAACAGCTTTTGTCCAGTAAGTTACAAAAAGGGGATTGTATGAACCCTTTTTGACTGAGCTCCTAAACCTTGCTCAAAGGAAAGCCTGGAAGAAGAATTTGCCTTCACTACAACTCGCCTATATGAGAATGCATATCCAGAGAAATTCATCGAAAAGTATGCCAAAACCAATGTACGTGTTAAATATGATACAATGGTAAAGAAAACCTGCTTTTTACATGTGCACTTCAAAAAAGATGTAATCACTGGGATAATTAACCACAGGATAAATGCTGAGTTGAAGGTTGCTTATTCATCAGAAAGACTGACGACATTATGTGAAGCGAACTGCTCATTCACTCAAAAAAGCGAAAATTAACAGGTCTTCTTTTCTCAGTATCTCCGACTACATTTACCAATTTACATGTATGTGCCAAGGCACCTACCTTGGAAGAGCAGAAATATGAGTACATGTTAGGATTTCTAGGCACGTTCCAAAGAATTTGAGAATGAGGGGCGCAACGGCTCTAAACAGTGCAATAACTCGGCGTTTAATTGAAATCGAACACACCTTTGACATCCCACAATTCCTCAAAATTACTACTGTTATTATTATTTGAACACATAAGTATTGGTACAAAGGGGCACCGAATAAATATGCGCTACACAAGTCACTTGATTTGTATGTCGGCTTTGATACTGCCCGGGTGCCTAAACGGAAGCAAATGGTTTTCTTAGGGGAAAACGCCCGGAGCCTTTGACTTTAAGGTCTGATCCACAAGGCAGTGGAACAACGTCAGGAGGTTCAGTCTCATAGTAACAGGTGACCAAAAATGGGTTCATACGCCATTTGTTCCCTCAGGATCCTGGAGCCCATGTGCACCATTAGTTTGGAATCAGGGTTTTCAAACTCACCTAGGTAGACCCTCAATATCCACCTAACCGGTTAAAACGACGGACATTCGCTTTTTTGTCCTCTCGATTTCGTAAACAACACCCCCGCCACGAGAAGGCAGTGAGTAAGACCTCCCTGGCAGTAGTTGTTTACGCGTGGTCATGTGAGAGCATTTCGAGACGGAGAGCAGACTCTCCCCACCATCGGCCGTACCAAGGCATCTGGGAGCAAAGCCAACTCCTCGACCAGTAATTAAACCAGCGCCTTCCACGTGACAGACGGAGGTGCTCACCACTATACTATCGAGGAGCACAAATAAGGAGGGGACAAATAAGTTCAGCGTCTGTCCGGTTTGCCAAAGCAGTCGTAATAAGGAATTTCAAACTTGATTTATGTATCCAGAAACAGTTAGTAATTAACTTAAGCAACCTAATATACCCATCAAGCCATAAAATAGAAAAATTACTTCCTTGATAAACGAACACTTTGTTGGGCCAATCTTTATTACTTTTAGTAATCAACCTATCACTACCTTGGCAATTCATTGTTTTTTGTCATTGTTATTATAATGCCCTTATTTATTTTGCTGTATAGTCTTTGTCAAATAATTTATTACTTTATTTACACTAAAATAATCTCATTCATCGGCTGTTTCATTCACTTAGTTATCTAAACTTATATAAACCCTTTAAATCCTGTTCAACTATTGCCTAACCTATCCCATCATTATCTAATTCTAGACAATTACCAATGCATAACTAAATGTTCTTTATATCTATTGTTATATGTATTGCTATTCTAATTCTTTTTGTCATCAATTGTTTCACATTATATCATACCTCAATGTTACATTTTAATGCATATATGGTTGTAAACAACTGATGAGAAACCATAAAATATCATGAATTCATATTATTCTGCCTCAATTGTTCTTTTGACCTTATTCAAATTCGTAACGGGAACCAATTGTATCAATAGAAATTTTTTTCTTAAGTGAGCTAAAGATGTTTAAAAGCTAATGACATAAGGGGGTAGATTTTCTGTTTCGGTTTTGGTCTTACATGCAGCCTGTACCCACAAATGTACCAGAAATTCTGAACTAATAGCCCTTAATTTTGTAATGGAGGCATTGTCTTTAAACCAGAGGAATCCGACGGTTTATAGCTTAAGCAATAGTCAATTTGTCAAACAACAAAAATACTGTACTTAGAATCGATAAAACATAATAACCGTGCTGCATTTAAAACTGAATTATTTTATTTTTCTTTTAATTTCATATCTGTTGGACAAGTTGGGATTCATCGTAACTATCGGTTTAGTGGAGAACACTCTAGCGTTTTAAAGTGATGGGTAATGGGTTTAAACCATAGACTGTAACATTGAAATCCAGGTACATCTGACCAATACATCCCCAAATAGGAAGAAATGTTTGTCAAAATCTTAATGGTTAGACACTATAAAAATATGCAGATAAATTTATATTTGTTTCTCAGCTTATTGATTATCAACGTGATTAAATAAACGATTTATCCATCTCTACGTTAATCTACACAATTTATATTTCGTAATTATGTAGGTTTTGAACATTTGGAACGTTACTAATCAATTGCGATACACTATGGTTTTGCGTAAAGAAAAACTTGAACTCTACGTCCTCAATACTTTCGAATACGTAACCGTTACGTCCTTGAATCTGTCTACCCACTTTAGTGCCGAGAATAACCTGTCTAATGCAGATTAAGACCTTGAGGCTAGTATGCGTGAGTTTGAAGTGGGGGTAGAGAGACGAAAACTATTCTATTCCTGGCTGGCTGGCAAGCACGAGAGAGAGAGAGAGAGAGAAGACAAGGACAACTGGGACACCAATCACTTTATTCCGATCCCGATCTAGCACTCGAATTCCGAATTCACATTAGTGTAAAGACACATGAATAAATGATGACTAACCCGACCACGATGTACAATAATTAGGAAAATACAATCATGTCCAAAACTGGGGGATTACATCAAAATAGATTACAAAAGGTTACGTTTAAGTTACAATGGCTTTGGAACAGAAAGTGCTATGGCAGTGAATCATACGTCAAACGAAAGCTCATGATCTGTAGAATAGACTAGGGGCACAAGTAAATGTTACAGTTTTACAAGCTTTGAATTAAATGAAATAACGTCCCAAAAAATAACTTCCGTAGTTTGTTAAGGCTTCTTGTTTCGTGGTTCACATCAGTAACAGAATCTTGTTTGATAACAACACATTTCATATTGATTTATACCATAATATAATATGGTGTTTTCATTCTGTTTTCCTTTCTTCTTTTTTTGAAAAAAAAATCAATAGGATCTTCTTGTCTTATTGGATTTACTTGGTGCAAAACAGCCTCACATACCAAAGTATCCTTATGAGGATAAAGGAAGTTTTAATATGCTCATGGAACTGGGTAAGGCGTCCATGATGTTATTATTGTTTACTGTAGATAACAACTTTCGTTCCATTTTAAATGAATAATTTCACAATGTCAGTATGGATATGGATTGTGGAGGTTGTTGAATTTTTCATTGAGATCATGATCATTGAAAACCTGGAAGTAATAAACAGTTGTTTAGTCTTAGTTTCACAATTATCGGTCGCTAAATCTACGAGGGAAAAATCATAGTTATATGGATCTCAATCAATGATATAAAGTAATTTGCTTCGAAGAGGCCTGGACTAGACTCTCTAGTGAAACATTGAAAACGTCTAATTTCAATCGCTAAGATTTTCATGAATACATAATTTTCTTTGAGTAATTATTAGTAGTAAAAAATCATTTTGTATTTTATAATTTATTTTATTAATACTCTATCGCCCTTGATTAACTGAAGTTGCAAGTGCGGATCATTGAACTTCAACTCCTTATTATATTAGTGATATTATGTTCACCATGAGACTTGTATCCTTGGTTCAAACCGCACTTTGATATGGTAAACAGTCGGGTAGTTTCTCTTGATTTCACATAATTATATGTAGCTAAGAGTCAGGTACATAAACCTGTACTCAGTTAATGAATTACACTATCATTATCATTATTTTGATCTTATCGGAGGTCGCATGAACTACTGAAGAATTTCAACTTAGAATAAAGCAGTTGCTCTATTGACTACGAGAAAGCATTTGAAAGCGTGAACAGGACAACACTACAGAGGCTTCTTCAACACTACGGCGTGCCTGAGAAGATAGTCAACATCATACGGAATTCTTATGATGCATTAAACTGCAAAGTCGCGCATGGAGGACAATTCACTGACTCATTCGAAGTAAAGACCGGTGTCAGACAAGGTTGCTTACTCTCACCCTTTCTCTTTCTCCTAGTGATCGACTGGATTATGAAGACGTCAATATCTGGAGGAAAGCACGAGATACAGTGGATAGCTAGGATGCAGCTGGACGATCTAGACTTCACAGATGATCTGGCTCTTCTATCACATACGCAACAACAAATGCAGGACAAGACTACCAGTGTAGCAGCAACCTCAGCAGCAGTAGGTCTCAACATACAAAAGGAAAGAGTAAGATTCTACGATACAACGCAATATGCACCAATCGAATCACACTTGATGGAGAAGCTTTGGAGGATGTAAAAACCCTTACATACCTGAGCAGAATCATTGATAAACACAGTGGATCTGATGCAGATGTGAAAGTGTGGATCGGCAAAGCAAGAGCAGCATAATTACAACGGAAGAACATCTGGAACTCAAAAAAATTGTCAACCAACACCAAGGTTAGAATTTTCAATACAAATGTCAAGACAGTTCTGCTGTATGGGGCGGAGACGTGGGGAACTATGAAAGTCATCATCCAGAAGATACAAGTGTTTATTAACAGCTGTCTACGCAAGATACTTCGGATCCGTTGGTCAAACACTATCAGCAACATTCGACTGTGGAAGAGAACAAACCAGATTCCATCTAGCGGGGGAAGAAATGAGGGAGAAGTGCTGGAAGTGGATAGGATACACATTGAGGAAATCACCCAACTGCGTCATAAGACAAGCCCTCACATGTAATCCTGAAGACCAAAGGAGAAGAGAAAGATCAAAGAACACATTACTTTGAGAAATGGAGACAGATATGAAAAGAATGAACAACAACTGGATAGAATTAGAAAGGAAGGCCCATCACATAGTGGGTTTGAGAATGCTGGTCGGTGGCCTATTCTTCATTGGGAGTAACAGACATAAGTAAATTGCTCTATTGTTCCCTGATCTTCTATGATTCTCAGAGTTCATTCTGTAATGAAAAATATCTTCATTATACCATATAACTAAATCTTATTTCACCATTACCTCGTCTAATATATATGCACATACTTATAACTATCCATAAACTAGTTTACTCTCATTATAAACTACTGTATTAACAACTTTTTTCGTAATTATAAGAGTTCAGTTCATAAGAAATTTACAATATAATAATGAAAAAAACATATAAAATAGTGCAATAACGAGAAATAAATGAGTTTAATCGATAAAATCGATTAACTATCAGATCATTTTAATCCGATTATATTAAAGGTGAAGTTGATAACCAATTTATTGATTAATTATTAAATTGAATATTGATTTTTGTATAATTGATTAACACATAGAAATTAATTTAAGAGATTTTATTGATATAATTCACTCAACACGTACAAGTTTATGTACATGAGTTTGAGTTACACTTTAATTTTAGTATGGAATGAATCGTGGGGATAAAGATTAAGTTATAGAAGAAAGGTCGGGAAAAGAGGTACATTAAGAAGTGACAAAAGGATTTAATTGTGAACAACGTGATCTTGGGTACTGTTAGACGTGTGAAGGTGGTTGTCGATTCCTAGTCGTCCTCACTGTGAAAGGATATTATTTTTTAAGAGACTTGAAAAGGAAACCAGATTAGTAGTGGTTGTAGTGACTTCTAAGCGTGACTCCAGATCTCAAAGGACAATTTTTTTTCAAATTGATTACACATGGTGTTTTTGTTCGTAGTTCTTGACGTGTTAGATCCATACTTTAGAGGTCTTTTCACTAAAGACCGTAATCCGTGGGTCAAGGTGATGTGTACTATTTTTTAAGGAGGACCTTTCCTCCGTTGTGTAATGACGATATCATTGTAGACGTTAGCTGTTTGAAGGAAACGACTTACTAGCATCAAGCCAATAGAATCAGCAGTTCTTCTTTACCCCCATACATAGATTCTTGCTTTTAGTAATCTGGACTAAATGAGTGTGATGGCTAGTTAAATTACCCCGATGCCCAAACCGATGTAGATGAAGTGAAGTCCAAACTTGTAATCTGTAATTCAAAAATCAGTTATTTTAGCCACTAGATCCAATGTACAAAGCCATGTGAAATTTCTCTTATTGTAACCATTCAGTAAATTAAATGGTCGCTTCCTCTAGCATGTTTATTTTGTTTATGGAATTTTACTAACACTTGAATGCAATTTTTTACTCATTGAGGTATCACGAAAAAAATATATTTATTACTAACATCCTACGCAATGCTAAATTTATTTGAAACCACCAAGTTCAACCTTGGCATTGATCCCTATATTCACTTTGATTCCTTTTGTTTGTATTTAATAGAAAGGAGAATGAGATCTTTTAATCTATTGAAATCATCAAGTGAAAATAATAAACCCTATTTTGGCCATGCTGTTCACTACCAGATTGGTGATGATCATATGCCATTTGTAGAAAAAGGTTAGTTACATTGGCTGTTTGTTATGACTGTTGACTAAATTCCCGTGTCAAAAACAACAGTCAGAATTTGTCTTAACACTAATAACCTTGAATTCCTATTAGTACATGATTCTCCAGCTTGGGTTTGGAATCGATCTCATATCCGTGCTCTTTACTTTGTTTTATATCTAAAATCACAAAACTGCACTCATACATACCTTCTTTCTATTCATTGTTCTCAAGCCATAATCTTAACTTCCGGTTTTTCTCACCATACGTTTCGACTCTTTTTTGCCACTTATTTGGTTAATTTTGTCTCATTGCGGAGATTTACTGTGGGAACTTCAGCCAACGCACGGGCTCTTTGTTAGTTTTTATTAAATACTACTTAGAAACATGAGTCGGACCGAAAAACAGTTTCAAAATTGAGCAGCAATCTAGAGCGGACCACTATTCACTACTCCTCACCTTTTTACAAACAGAAATGCTTTTCACCTGCACTACAGAGGATGATGGAATTCATCCCTATCAAAGAGACTCCTGAAAGTGTCCTCAACGAGATTTATGAGAACTTTATGAACAATCAAAATTCTTAAATAGTGATCAGATTCTCCGTCACAAAGCTTCCCATAATCTTTCCTAACTATACCGCTGTTTCAATAACTAATTTTGAATATTTAAAAACTAATATTTGAACGAAGAATATTCTTTTCCACAAATTATTTCCAGGTTGGAGATATTTCTTCTGTACACATAGCTCAGGTTTCTTCATTCAGATGGCTACTGCTTCAGCCATTTGAATGACTTTAAGCCTGACAAGCTTTGACAAAAAATTACTGATCCTATAAATAATTGAAAAGGATTGGTTTATACTGGCACTATGACCAGTTTGTACTAAATGAGCCAATATCTAGCTGTTTACTTTCTTCACCAAACCTTTGTTTAGCCACACTGGGAGGTGTTCACGAGCACGAAAATGTAAATTCCTAGAACTTCGACCAATATATAACTTGCTCCACAGGAGCAATCTGATATCTAAAAAGACATAAGTTGTTCCGAAAATAGTGGCATTAACATGCAAGACAATTCAATATAAATTAAGGTGTCAAACAAAGTAAGCTATCCTATTTCTAAATTCATTTAGTATTGTTTTGTTTGAATCTTCCCATCGATGTGTTAGGACTGCAACTGGTCAGTCTCTAATTGGCATATGTGCATACTGAGCGTATTGCCTCGATATAGCCTTAATTCACAAGCATGGTAAGCAGAGCTGGATGGTGGCTAGCACTGGAACCCAGGACACGCGTTTCGTCCTATTTGGGACTCGTCAGCTGGATGTACAAGCATCTCAGCGGTCATGTTCACTCTGGGATTCAAGCCCAGTACCTTTCGCTTCACCATGCTTGTGAATTAAAGCTATATCGAGGCAATACGCACAGTATGCACATATACCAATTAGAGACTGACCAGTTGCAGTCCTAACACATTGATGGGAAGATTCAAACAAACAATACTAAATGAATTTAAAATTCACCTCATCGCACAAGCAAGTGGCTATCAGGACTCAGTGGCCGAGTGGATAACGCGATGGTGTTTGAAGTGAAAAGTACTGGGTTCGAGACCCAAAGTGAACATCAACTCTGAGATACATGTACATCCAGCTGACAAGTCCTAAATAGGACGAAACGCGTGTCGTGGATTCTACTGCTAGCCACTATCTATCTTTGCTTACTATCCTATTTCTATATAATAACTTAAGTTCTAAGATAATTTAAATCATTAAAACTAATCTTGACATATCATTCAGCTTTATGATAAATGAAACTTTATATTTTCATTAGGTTAATTTCACTGAAATACACATATAACATTTTTCTTCTACATTATTAATATAGGTGTCCCTGTACTACATTTAATTCCTTTACCATTTCCAAAAGTATGGCATACAATAGCTGACAATGCTACAATTATAGATTGGGATACATCGGTTGATTTATTATTACTTATAGAATTATTTGTTAGAAATTACCTACATATTCTATTATGATATGTATATATGTACATATATACAATAAGTGTTAATGTGGATTCTATGTATTTCATGCATAACTTCACCAAATTTGGTTTCACAAATAGACCTAATGAGTTTTTCTATAGTTTGTATAATCGTAGAGTAAATATTATAAAACATAATTGTATAAATAGACTTTTATATTTATTTATATATTTACTTACACTGTTAATGATATGTATTGTTTTATAGTAAATTCCATTCATTTATTCTTTATCTAAATGAATGAATTCATGATTTGTTTTTTAACAGGTTAACTGGTACAATTTGAAATTTTATAGTTACTAAGCAGCTAGTGTATTACAATAAACTTATTTAATTATTATCATAAATTTCAATAGTTGAGAACATGAGTCCATTGAAGCTGGACCACTATGGAATACTTGGAAGCATTGGATGGCTGTCTGTTTTAAGATAGTAACTCACTGAAGACAATGGTGGATGTGTCTCTCAATTTCGTGGATTGGTTAAAGTTAGACATTAACACCGTTGGATACCGGCTCAGTAGTCTAGAGGTTAAGTGCTCTGGTGCGAGATTGACAAGTCCTGGGTTAGAATCTCACGAGACGGGATCGTGGAAGTGCACTGCTGAGGAGTCCCATAATGGGACAAAACGGCCGTCCAGTGCTTCCAGATTTTCCACGTTGGTCTAGCTTCAATTGATTCATGATCTCAATTATTGAAATTACTATAATATCCACAAAAACCCCTTCTGTTATTAATTATTATTAGTTAGTAAAAGTAATATCTTATTACGTTAGTTCATTTTAATCTTAATGAAATTAGATGATTGTAACTAATCGTTAAATGATATTTTTTGCTTAATTGATCTGTCATGCTAATTGACATCTATGAGCAAAACGTATGTATAAAAAACTTTTGTAAAATTGATATTCCCTATGAAATTCAAACATGCATCAATTAATGTTACAGTTAATGATATTGACACTGAGCTATATGGATCATGAGTAACCATCATTACTTACTTACTCCCAACTTGGTGAACTACTACAACTATCATCAAGAAGTTACAAGTATTTTTAAACAGTTGCCTACGTAAGATACTCAATGTCCGTTGGTCAGATACCATCAGCAACAGCCTACTGTGGGAGAGAACAAACCAGGTTCGAGCTGATGAGGAAATTAGAAAAAGATGCTGGAAGTGGATAGGACACATATTGAGGAAATCACCAAACTGCATCACGAGGCTAACCGTAACTTGTAATCGTGAAGGGAAACGAGAAAGTGGAAGACCAAAGAACACACTGCGCCGACAATCGGAAGCAGACACGAAGAAGGATGAGTAATAACTGGAAACAGCTGGAAAGGATTTCCCTGGAGAGAGTTGGATAAAGTATGTTGGTGTGTGGCCTATACTCCACGAGGAGTGACAGGTGTAATTAAGCAATTATAATTGAGAAGCAACGTAATTCAGTCTTGTTTCTTTTACAAATCATTACTTTTTTACATGTGTTTGTACTTGCTAACGAGAAAGGTAGTTACTTACTAGTGATATTGTAAGATGTTTATCACACAGGTCAACTAATTTCAAGAGTATGAACACTTGGATATCGACACAATTATTCAATTTTAACGGATGAAATATATTTTATTCTATAGTCGATTTTCATTTTCTTATTCACTTCATGAAAATTGGAATGGTTTTTTATATCATGTAATTCAGTATCTCTCAGTCACAACAATCAAGACGATCAAAGTACATACCTTATGTTGTCTCTACCAACTATCCTAGTTATTGCAGCCAGGATCAAGTAGAATGTGATTAAAATCTATATGATTCACTCCATAAAGCCAAATGTTTAAGTGTAGTAATTGTAACGGGGAGGCTTCAACACTCAAATAGAATAGTTAAGTCAAGCATTAAAATATTTGATTGGATTTTTTATAACCTCACCTTTAACAGGTACTAGTGACTATCTTCAATAGACTAATATTTGAACGAAGAATATTCTTTTCGATAAATTCTCTTCAGGTTCTACAATTATATATCCAAATTAATAATCCGAAAAATTGGCCAGGTTAAAGGCAAAGTACATAGTTTAAAGCATGTAAATTTAGGATTGTCAAACCAAATAGTTAATGTTGATATGACTCATATAGAATGTTAACCCTTGAATCTGTATATATGTTAAGTGAAAATTTAAGATCTGTGATCAGAATATAAATATGGGTCAGATAGGATGAGAGAGATATGATAGTGCAAATTACAATTCGATCAAGTGGAAGACTAAATGTGTGAAAAATTAGTAAGACGTAATAAGGAGGGATCAATGCGATGTGAATGAATCATGTCTAGGGGGGATTAATAATGATATTTAACCAATAATAATAATAATACAAAGATTTGTGAATAAAGATAAGAGAGACAATTACATTTGACTACGAAAGGTCGTAAATACATAGTCAAATTAGGTCATACAATAGCTAAGATGATTGTTCATTAATTGGCCTTGTGGTTGGCCAAGGGAGAAGTAGGGGTTGGAGATATTTCTTCTGTACACATAGCTCAGGTTTCTTCATTCTGATGGCTACTGCCTCCGCCGTTTGAAGGACTTTAAGCCTGACAAGCTTAGGCAAAAAATTACTGACCCTATAAATAATTGAAAAAGATTGGTTTATACTGGCACTATGACCAGTTTGTACTAAATGGGCCAAAATCGAGCTGTTTACTTTCTTCATCAGACCTTTGCTTAGCCACGCTGGGAGGTGTTCACGAGCACGAAAATGTAAATTCCTAGAACTTCGACCAATATAACTTGCTCCACAGGAGCAGTCGAACTGATAAATACAAAATGAAGTGGTCATTCTAGGAACTTCATCTTTAAGCCTCGGTGTCACCATTGGACGCGTAGAAAACACCAAACGTAGTTCACCTGCGTTGAAAGATTTTTGGATAGATCTGCGTAATCTCTGAGCAAGTATTTCGCCAGCGGCATCCCCCCTGAATTGTAGGCGCATGAACAAGGACTTTTTCTTGACCGTTTGGAATTCGCCTATTTTCACTTTAAAGATCATATATTTAATTATAAATTTTCTGGGATATCCGTTCTCCCTTAGAGCATTATGCAATGTGTTTAGCTCATTGTCAACTACATCCGCCGAACATATAGTGCGTATTCGATAGCTAAGGGTCTTGATTAGGTTTCGTTTGTACTGTAGAGGTACAAAGCTTAGGAAGTGTGTATACTGCCCAGTCCAAGTACTTTTTCTGTTCATGTTTCTTCTTAACGATCCATCAGATCTCTTAGTTAAGAGGACGTCTAAAAAGGCTAATCGGCCATCACTCTCTTCCTCCGATGTAAACTGGATGGCTGGATGCACTTCGTTAAACTGCCTAAGCACATCTTGTTGTGAAATATTATCTTTACACAGGATGAATGTGTCATCCATATATCTGCAGTAAAATTTGAATTCTTGAATAATCTTTTTCAGATGACCATTCTCTAATTTAGCTAGAAATATATCAGCTAGTATAGGGCCCAGAGGTGAACCCATTGCCACACCATCTGTTTGTCTAAATATGTCACCGTTGAATTTGAAATTTACATTCATGGTGCATTTCAGTAATAACTCTTTCAAGACATTAATCGGAACAGTAGTTTCAATTTTATTTTCAATCAGTTGTTCCCCTATATATTCTACTGTCTCAAGAAGTGGGACATTCGTGAATAGTGATGTTACATCCAAAGACATCATCTTTAGTCCCAAAGTATTGACATTTTTTACTTTGTCAACAAATTGAAATACATCCTTAACACTATGTTTTACCAGCTTTTCGTGGAGAGGTTTCAATAAAGTTACCAACCATTTAGCTATAGTATGATAAGGAGAGTTATACATATCTAAAATAGGTCGTAATGGGATCCCCGGTTTGTGTACCTTTGGTAATCCATACAGTCTTGGCAGATAGGTTCCAACTGGTTTAATCATTTCATATAGACCAGACGAAATAGTCTGGTTGTCTCTGAGCTTCTTCAAAGAACTAGTAAGCTCTTTCTCTATTTTCATATTGAGATCTTTATGGTTAGTTATTTTTTGGAATTTCAATTTGTCATTTAAGATGGTCCCCATTTTATCAATATAATCGTTTTTATTGAGAAGAACCACTCCTGAACCTTTGTCAGGTTTCGTAATCAATAACGTCTCATCCTTTAGGAGTACGTTAATAGCTTCCTTATGCCTTTTTGTAAGAATACTTTTGTAATTAAATTTATTGTTTTTATACTGGTAGCAACAGTCCACAAGAGTAGATTTAAAGTGCTCCAGTTGTTGATCAGAATTAGCCACTAAATCACGTGTCTGGCTGTATAGATTCTCAAACTGTATATCAGTATCTATGTGGTTACAATTATTACGGGTATCACAAAACTTTAGACCTAAGGATAATACCTCTAGTTTATCGTTATCCAGTTCGACATCCGAGAAATTATGGACATACCTTTTAGAGTCCGTTGGAAATTTGCTTTCAGCTGTCTGATGTTCCAGACCTTTCAAAAGCTGTTTGGTTTGACAATCCTAAATTTACATGCTTTAAACTATGTACTTTGCCTTTAACCTGGCCAATTTTTCGGATTATTAATTTGGATATATAATTGTAGAACCTGAAGAGAATTTATCGAAAAGAATATTCTTCGTTCAAATATTAGTCTTTTAATATGATTGGGATTTTTAAACGATTAAAATGTTGTGAACAACCCATTGCGTTGAAGGTGCTCAATGAGTTCCTGAAGTATAACGTAAAGTTCACTGAAACGAAAACTACAATTGATTTTATTAACAAGTGCATCGAGTCAGGTCACTATCCGAAATTGTACTATACATCACTGCGACGCAACGGTGTCTACCCCAATCGGAAAACGCTGAAACGTCACGCCCTAAATCAGATCGACGCCCTGCATTCGGACATAAATGAGATACAGATGAATGTTTGCCGCAGAAAGTATGCAGTGGATGACTTAACGGAGGAATTAAAAATACCTTTCATGAACTATGTTACTAATGTTATGGATCATAGATCAGGAAATAAACTCATTCAGCTTTTGAAAGGTCTGGAACATCAGACAGCTGAAAGCAAATTTCCAACGGACTCTAAAAGGTATGTCCATAATTTCTCGGATGTCGAACTGGATAACGATAAACTAGAGGTATTATCCTTAGGTCTAAAGTTTTGTGATACCCGTAATAATTGTAACCACATAGATACTGATATACAGTTTGAGAATCTATACAGCCAGACACGTGATTTAGTGGCTAATTCTGATCAACAACTGGAGCACTTTAAATCTACTCTTGTGGACTGTTGCTACCAGTATAAAAACAATAAATTTAATTACAAAAGTATTCTTACAAAAAGGCATAAGGAAGCTATTAACGTACTCCTAAAGGATGAGACGTTATTGATTACGAAACCTGACAAAGGTTCAGGAGTGGTTCTTCTCAATAAAAACGATTATATTGATAAAATGGGG